CCGGGAAGGCGCGCGGGCCCCGCCCCGCCTGAAGCCGCCGGTGTGAGGGGGGCGCGGGCAGCGCCATGGCCGGGAGGAGCCTTCGCCTCCGGGGTGGCGGTGATCCCCAGGCAACAGCTTGTGAGGGAGCGGGGGTGGGCCCAGGCACGCGTACGTATCCATATGGAGTCTGTCTGGGCGTGTTCCTGTGGAGAGTCACCGAAGGGGTCGGGTTAGAAGGGAAGACGGTGGGTCAGCAGGTCCAGCCTCCATCGTCCAGGCTCCCTGCTCAAGCAGGGTCATGCCAGAGCACATGGCACAGGATTGCATCTAGACGGTTCTGGAATGTCTCCAGTGAGGGGGACTCCACAGCCTCTGTGGGGAATTTGTTCCAGTGGTCAGGCAGTAAAGAAGTTCTTCCTCACATTCAGGTTGTGAAAAACGAGGTTCACATATTTTTTTATATAAAATTTAAAAAGTTTAATGGACAATTAGGAGATAGAAATAAAGTAAAATGTACAAATACGGCCGGGAGCCTCAGCATTCAGCCGAGAGAGCGCACCTTACTAACAAAGGATTGTCCCTTAAAAACAGAACCCTATTACATATTCATTAATTCTTATACATGATTCAAACATTCCTCTTAAGTTTTAGATGTTCTTTTGTTTAGTTTTAACTCGCCCCCTCCCCAACAGATCAATCTTCTTGGCTCTGCTGAGTCTTACATTCCCTGATAGCGGAGGTTCAATAAATTCCTCCCTTGGAGCACTGGTCACTGCTGTCTTCATCTGGATAAGATAATCTAAGAATGCAAGGGAAATTCTGACTATCTTTTCTGTCTCTGGGATACATGGACCAAAGCAGTTTTTTTTATTTTAATACCATGCCACAGCCTAACATATATATGTATTATATCACTATTTCTAAGTTTCATCAATAACAGAAATAGAAGAAACTATATGAATACAGAAAAGTTGTCCAACATCATTCCTGTGCATCAGTTTATGCCCGTTGCCTCCCATCCTGTTGCTTGGCCCCACTGATCACAGCCTGGCTCCATCCTTTTGATTCCCTCCCTTCAGATATCTATACATCCTCTTGGAGAATCTTCTGGGATCCTAGACAGGTGCAGGCAGAGGTGTCCAGCACTCAGGGAAGGCAGGTCAAGATCAGGCTTTGGTCTATCCTGGTGTTAATTCCAGCACCTGTCCAAACACAAGGTTGATAATATTAAAATTCCTGTAATGAGATTTTGTGCTTTTTCTTTTCAGGAAAAACCAGTAAAGTAACATTTTCTGTGAATAAATAGTTGCTAAATAGAATTCCTTGGTAAAAAGAAGGAATATTTTGCTGTCTTCCTCACCTCTTCCAGTTCCCCCAGTGAGTGTGGTTTCAGCCTTACAGTTCAGTTCTGGGAGCATCTAGAAATATCTGGAAGCTGCAGCAGGAATGTGGGCAGGAGTACCCCTGGCAGGAATTGGTGCACTCCTCCCTGGCACTGGGCTGATTGTTACTGCTGATGTAAAAGATGGTTTGGGATGTTTGTCAGTTGCCACAAACTTACTGAAATCTGCTGCTTAAGTTTGCTTCCCTAAACTACTTGAAGAATATACATTTATTTCTCAAAGAACGATCCATGCACTTTGTTTGCATGTAAGGATAGCTTCTGCCAGATGGCTCAAGGGACAGAAAGTCTTTGCAGGACTGTGTAGTGCAGAGTCAAGATTTTATCATAGCGCTGCTTATTATTTCTAAGCAGGAAGTAGATAATCAAAATTTCTGATGCAAGAGATTTCAGAGAATAACCTTCATCTTTAACTTTTTTCTGAGAGTGTAAGAAAATTATCCAACTAGAACATGCTACTGTGGTAACTGAACTATCACATTTAATATCACCTTACAAGATACCTGTGCTGCTGTATTGATGCAGTATTTATCTTCTGCTGCAGGATTTTTTTCCTAAAGCCTTTTGAAACAGATGATCTTGTGGACTACCAAAAAACCTGCTAACTGTAAAAACAAGATTTTGTAAGCTTCAAGCAGTTAATATTAGCATAGATTTATTCTTATGACATTTTTAACTGTGAGCTGCTGTTTGTAACAGCTGCTGTTACATGATTTTTAAACTGATCCTGAATTCTGTGTGCCAGGTCTCTGGTTCTGCTAGGGAAAGAAGCAATTGTGGGCCATTTTTGAGCAGGAATAGATTTGCTATTTGAGGACTGGGGAAAGGGGAGGAATTGTCAAGGTAAAACCGGCTCATTGGTATACCAGGATGAAAATTGGCAGGAGTGTACAACCAAACTTCTGCAATTCTAAGGTGCAACAGTTGATGCACCTGGTGAGAGGAGGGGAGATGCAAGGCTCATATTGGGGAGTTCTATCGGTTTTTCTTGCTTTGGCTCTATAAGTTCAGTCAAGTTACATCCCACTAGCCATTTGGTCTCTGTGATTCATCATATTTAAGCTTGCATCATCTTAGTTACAGTATCAGCAACTTCAAGCTCGTTGCAAATTTGGGGGGCCCAGTAGACTTGAGCTAAATGTTCAAACTATTCTTGGGTTTTGCTGAGTTAATGCACAGGCCCTCACTCAGGAGGGTGCGTCCCTCAGAAAGCTCCCGACATATCTATGGCTTTTCCAGTTACATTTTCAATTTAAAAATAAACTTAGACTTGCAGTCTCAAGGTGACAAGGGCAAAAGAATGGCAATTATTACACAGTTCCACCCTCCTAGCAGGTGGCACAGATATGGACATGATGCTTGACATGGGCTGTAGCTGCTTCACTGCAGTCACCAAGGAGTGCTGCATCCCTTGAGTCTCTCTGACCACTTGGCCAGCTTAAGCTCTTGCTTCACCAAACCCCAAAGAACAAAAGCATTGGGCAGTCAGTGAAGTGGAAGTAGAAAAGCTGCATTTCAAATGTGGTAAAATAGTTGAGGCTAGGGAATTCTTCTCTTCCTCACAACTTCGTAAAACAGTAACAGTTAGTGTAGGCCACTGCACCAGAAGAAAAGAATGATTCAAACCACTCTTTGGGAATGTAAAATTAAGAACATGGCCAGTTGCAAATAACCCTGGACAGCTCTTCTCTGGTATTGTGGCAGCCCTTCTAGAAGCAGACATTAATCTTCATTAGTCATTTGGAAGATACTATATATTAATTTTACTGCATCTCTTTTTGTATGGTATCCAGGATCAGTAAATGAGTAGAAGAAAAGGAAGTAGGTCTCCAGTAAATACATACGTCTGTAAAACACAGCTGTAATATTTGAGGTGCAGTCTTCCCACTTGTAATAGGTTAGTTTTTCTAAAATTTAGCCATTAAGTAGAAAATCTATTGTCATTCCTGATGTCCATGAAGAAGTATTTGCTGACCATTTTGCAAATGTTGCTCTGTTTCTTCTTTTTTCTCCATTTTTGTCACATCAGAACAGTGCTGCTGCTGGGACATCCCCATGTGGCCGTGTTGGCACGAGACTGGCGGGTTCATCAGGAACACGGACTGTGACAGGCAGCAAACAACGGAGGGGTGATGAGTTCCTGATCTGGATATCCCAGCTGAATCCTCACTACATTGTCTGTCACCAGGGAAGAGCGAAGCTCTTGGATAGTCAGCTCCAATTGTGCCTGAAAATCACTAGCAATCATGCTTTTTATGTTTGGCCTCCAAAATTTGGGACATCTCTGTGACTTTGGACTTAAGTAAGATTTGGTGCATGACTTAGGGAATAAGGACCATTGGTCATTCCTGGTTTCTATGTAAGATTTGGTGAGTTCTGTGGATGAAATATGGCACGTCATTTTAATATAGAATATTCCATGTGAATCAGCAGAAGATACCAGATATGGGTTTGTGACTATTTTTATAAGTCTATAACAAGCAGTTCTCTTCATCTTTCTGTCTTAGATTCTTAAAAACATGAGCTCAATTGTTACATTATTAGACACTAATGCATTTGATGCAAATTGGATTCCAGAATTGTTTTAGTTCTACAGAATAATCACCAAACTTAGATGTTACAAGGTACCTTCCAGTACAATTTTTATAACTAATTAGCATGAAGGATTTAACAATGGTATTAGCTTAAATGCTCTGTGTTGATTTGTAATGACAGGAACACAACAAGGGACATTCTGCTTGATGAGAAGGGTATTATCCTAAAAACTTCCCATTGCTCACAGCTTTGCCAAATAGCACAAATACCACATTTGATGTTTTCTATTTAGAAAATGTCCCTTAGCTTGGACTTCTAAACAAACTAGGTGCACTTTCTCTCTATTTTTAAACAGAGGCACAAAAACATTTGTTCCTGTATTTTCTACTCATCTCTGAAATGTGTATTTTGGATGAGGAGGTATGTTGTGACTGGGAGCATGGTGCCCTGTAAGTCAGAAAAGTAGTTTTCACCATCTCAGTTTGAATTTGTTTAAGTAAAAATTAAGCATAGCTTTGCAGTCTGATAGAATTATAATAATAGAGGTACAGAATTTACGAGAACTATATGTTAAGGCAGGAGGCCTCATATTCTGGAAGTGTCTGGAAAAGATAGAAATCCAATTGTTCTAGTGAATTTAATCTGGATAATCACTTGTACAATACTTACAAGCAGTTGATGTTTTATGGTAATTTCAAATGTTATTTTGGACAATACGGGACATCACTGTGGATGCTGATGCTATTGGTTCTCCAAAGTTTGAGGTAGGCAAAACTGCAAATGTTAGAAGTTGCAAAGAAAAAGGTTCTAGGAAAATAAATAACTAGATTATTATGGAGGGAAGTAGATGGAGAGAGACTATTCACACTTAAAACAGCAGTAGATCTCAATGTCCTTCAGCAACCACAAATCTGTGCTGAAATGATTTCTCATATTCTCCATCATGAGTTTCTCCCTAAATCTTTGAAACTACTAGCTTCTTTGAGGATTATCTGTCCTGGCAAGAAAAACAATAAGATAAATGTTCTCTTTCAAAATCTGCCTCAACACGCTTGTCAATATTTACTATATATTTATAACTTGACACGGTGAAGGATTGATGAGATCATTACAGTGGATTAGGATGACTCATTTCCCTGTCCTTCATGACTGCTTCTGCTGAGCTCTTTACTTCTCCTGAATGCCCAAAGGAGAAACTCTGACGTGTTCTGAGCAGACTTCCAGAGAATTGGAAGAAATCAATCCATTCTTTTACAGTCCTTGAAGATGTCCAAAGGATTCTTCAAGTCTAACAGATTTTCTGTGTAAAACCAGCACTCAAGTGATGTTTCATTCGTCTTGCAGTTGTTAATCATTAGACTCCACAAACATTAGGAAATCTGTTTGTGTCATTCACAATCTCTTACTTTCCACAGGCAAAACTCTTGGTATCAATAAAATCAGGCTTTGGCTTTCACTGGTAATTTCTGTACAATCTTTCAGATCCTATGGTACAGTGAGTGGTACCATATCCCAGTCCTCTTCCAGGTTTCTTGTGGCAAGTAGGATGAAAGTAAGTTCCTATAGGTTTTCCAAATGCTCTCAGCAGCAGAATTATGCCTTACTTTTGTGGCTGTAGGAAATTCTTTCCTCTTTCTGATGTTGTAAGTTTAGGAACATTCTGGTAGGGATATGACTAGAAATGCTTATGATGAGGAAGCACTTTTTATACCGACTGTGTGCCTGAACTCTGCTGATATATTTACACATCCATTCAGTTCAAAGACTGACTATAGCAATTACTAGGGAAAATAGATTAGGAAATAGTAAGGGATCAGCCCGTGTCTACAGGTTAGTTTTGTTCTGCCATGAAATAAGCTTCAGAGCACTGTGATCATACTTTGAAAAGGAGGGTAAGAAAAACTCTCATGTTGTTCTCAACCTGTTCACCTGAAAGAAAAACAGTTGCTTTAGACTTACATTGTATCTCAGAGGAAGAGCTTTTATTGTTTAGCTTTATAAGTGAAAAAATTACTAAGAACAAAACAGTTCTGTTTTTTGGTCCTTATCTACTCCTAATTTTAGGATATTTGTCTGAATTGCCTAAGGCTCTTTTCCACTATATAGTACTTCTAGGTCTCCTGAGGAAGAATGACCTGAAACAAATACAGATATTTTACTAACGAGCAAAAGTTGTTTAAATCCATACTTGCAGTAACAAAATTAAAAAAGAAAATAAAAAAATCTTACAAGAAAGTTGTTAGAGACATAGGAGTCTATCGAGCTGGAGAATACTTTTTTGTCTCTGTATGGATTCACACACAGCAAAAATATGTTGGTGGTCTGACATCCCAGAGTGGCTTTGAATTGTCTGAATCACAGAACTGCATCATAATGACTCATTCTCATTGCATACTGACATCCCTGCTGGGAAAGAGCTGCTCTCTCTCCCTTGTAGCAATTTCACTTGGCACATTTTTGTTTTCTCCTCCCAATGAAGTTTCTGTCCTAACAGACATCTACAGTGGAGCTTCCCTTCTTCAAGAAGACAGGCACTGTTTTGCAGGTGCAGCAAGTAATTTATTGCTCTATTAGAAGGAAGTATTTGTTCCTCCAAATGGAAAAGGAATATAATATCCTACTGACTGTTTCTAGGGACTTTGCTATAACTGAATTCCTTCCAATGCCAACACATGAGAGGATAACACAAGCAAAACTCTGATTTGTGCTGTTTGCATGTGCCTTTCCTTTATAGATGTAACATCTAAACCCTTTATGTTAATCCTTATAAAACAATCTTGTGTGCAGCCACCAAAAGAAAAGCCTTTCTAAAACAAGATGATCAGCCAGTGCTACAAATTCTTTGTATTCATTTCCATTCAGCTCAGGATGAAATGGTACATATTCCCAAGGCACACATAGAGGAGATCCTTCACTGTAGATGAGATGAGGCATCTCATCTACAGTGTAGATGAGGCATTGTGTTTTCAGGGCAGATCTCCAAATTTATGCCGAGGGCAAGGGGAAGAGGACTCAATATATACTTTTTCCAGAAATTGTGATGATTCCCATCCTCCTCCCATGCTTATCATCCTCTGTAACCTTAGTGACATAGTGGGTGATCTGTCCTTCCACAAAGTCACTAGAATTGTTGCTCACTGCATTTTTCACAAGGACTTTTCAGGTGAAAGTTAGTATTACTGCCAAATTTTTGTCAGCACACTTGGGGTAAGAGCATATGACTTAATGTCTGGCAAAAGTCCCACAGGATTTGCTTCTGAAAATTGATAAGCCCTCACAAGTTGAGGAGAGATCAGGCCAAAGAGGCATAATCAAGTGCCCTCCTGAATAAAAACATCCTTTCTTAGAACTTCCAAGGAATATATTTTGGGTCTCTGCTGCTACCTGTGTCTTGATAGTGCTCTTAGATCTTGTCCAGACCTATTTTTTTTTAACTCAATGAAGCCATATCTTGACTTTTTTACCTAAGAAATTGAAGCTTAGGGTTTTTTATTCAAAGTTTCTTTTGGAGTTGGCAGTAATTCTAAGGCTGAGCTATACAGTCGTCGTTCCCATGCTGGATGCCCACATGCCCTTTCAACCTTCAATGCAGATAAACTTTGTAAAAATGGTTAATTTTTCCTTTATTGTCACATAATTCTTTTTAGAACCTATTTATGTATTCTTTCTTCCACCAAGAGCTTTGTTGAAGCGATGAAACATTTTTAATTAATGCATTACATTTTAATGATTTGTTTTCTAAATTGCTGCAATCAAGTATGATAAATTCACTGAAGAAATTTTAAGCTAGTGTGTCTTCACAGGACCTGTGCTCAGAAACAGATAAATCTGGATTTCTTGACCCTTAGGAATAGGTCTATTTGTTTTGGAGTTTTTCTGACAATGGATAAAGAGTTAGGAAAACAGAAGGTTCTTTTCAATTTCTTAGCTTATTTCTTTCCTGTTAATCAGTAATTCTCGGGTTCTCTCTGTTTTCTTTTCAATAAAATGCTGATATTTTCTTTATGAACTAGCCTCTAAAAAAAGAGTTCTTATGGTATTTAGTCAAAAAAGGGAAGTTCACGATAGTCTTCCCATTTGTAAAAAGTTGCTGTAAAAAAGACACACAATGTTCAGCACACACTTGGACTTTTGTGGTCATCTGATGCTGCAAGCTTTGCCTAAATGATACCTGGATGAAGGTTTTTCCTTGTGCTTTTTTCTCCTTTGAAGTTTTTCTCTGAGCCACGAATTGCCATGATATGAGATGGCTGCATTCACTTTTGATGATGATAAAATGCACATTGTACAGAGTATGCCGGCATAACTTTCATCAGTACAGACCTTTCCTGGTCTGCTCCATTGAAGTTGTAGCCAGGAAAAGGGGGACAAGATCTGTCATGGATGGTTGTGATCTGATAAATAGATTTGAAACCATTGTGTCCCATTTGCAGTGCTGCTCAATCATACTGTAAGACTTTTAAATGATTTTGGAAAAATTATTCAAAACATTTAGTCAAAGGCTTCTCAAAAAAATCCCAATAACAAAAATGAACCTTTCCTCCTCTTCTTCCTCTGCTGTTTTAGCTTGTTGCCTCAGCCCCCACTCTTCTCCCAGGCAGAGCCCTAAAATGAGTAAGAAGTCTCACTGTGGGAATGATACCTGCATGACCTTAGGAAGATGAAGCAGAATTACAGCTTTGATTGGAAACAGCTGCCACTCTCTTTTTTTTACAGTTACATATTATTCAGTCTTAATGGTGTTTCATCTACTGAAATAATGCTTTATTAATTTCCTATAAACTTAGCAATGTAAGCAGCCATCGTGTGTTGCTTTCCTTCTTTTCTGTAGATAAATATATTTTTTGA